AGTGGTATTTGACAACCAGACAGAGACATGATAATTAAAGAAGAAACGATTTATTTGACGCTACAAAAAGCAAGGGAGGATATATCTCAGGAACTTGCAGGCTGTTGAAAGAGAAGGAGTGTATTCCATCTTCTCAGCAGAAGACGCGTCAAAATAGACAAGATCTCGCCCAGCATTTTGACAGCTGCCTGCGCTCTTCTCCAAACCCTCAAAACATCCCTCATGCCATAGCAAACTGTCAACTTAAGCCTCCACTTCAACTAGACCATGCTTGCAATGCACCAGTTTCTTGTTTTATGTATTAGTAGGCTTATGGGAGGCTTCGGAGTTTATCGCGGTAACTCACATCTAGAAACAAAACTCCAGCCAGATACCTGCAAGCACGTGCCCAAGTCATCGCACCATGTAGTCTTAGATACTCGCCAAAGGGCAAGTGCATCCGTATCAAGATCTTGGTCTCTTCGAGAGACAGTCCAGGGTTAAAGCAAAGCACTATTCCATGACTGTCAAATACCTTTGGCATATTGCTCATCGTAAGACCCTTCATAGATCTGAAGACTAGTCGCCCTTCGAGCAAGGAGCCCATTGCTGTTGAAGTCATGTCCGCGTGGAGAAGACACTCTGATATAGCGTATGATGCCGCACTTAGCTCTCTCGCCCCTACCTCTATACATCCATTCGTGGATTGAACAACCATGAAAGTCCCCGCGTCAAAGACTTCCAGTTCTCCATTTCCATTGTATCTTGCGAAGCACGCGAATGTTTTAACTTGAAGTAAGATTTCATTGTTTTCGCTTAACTGGATGAATAGTTAGCCTCATGAATGCGGGATTGAAAGGATGACGCACATCATTGCCATGAATCCAAATACGACAGAGCTCGCCCTTTTCTGTGGGACTCTCTGCGAGCAAACTAGCCGACGAGGAGCCAACTACGTGCAAGTTCATCGTGTCAGCTGATTAGAGATATAGGAAGAGAAGGCGAATTGGGGCTATACGTACAGACGGGGACGCCAGATCGATTAGGGACTTCAGGAGCAGCCACCGGTTCGTACCTTTCCAGCTGAGCATCGGGCGGCTGGCTCCATTCCGATATAGCCGACGGGGAATCGCACAGTATGTGGTGAGCGGAGCTAGTGGCTAGAGGCGAGCGTAACGGAGGTGAGTTTCTAGGTCCTGTTATCATGCCTTGCGGCGGATATAAATCAGGTAAGTTCTTAGCGGAAGGTATGACGCCATTTTTTATCGGAATGCGGGTGTAAGGAGGATCGCAGGAGCAGCTGTTTGCTCGCTCATTGCAGCGTAAGCAAGGGGTCTGTCCGTCGCACTGTCTCGTCCTCGTTAATACTTTCCCTTCTCCATTGCTTGGGTGGTCATCCGGTGGGCATTCCCATGGATCGTTTTCGGAATGGTTTCTATCGCACCTTTTGCCTGAGACTGTGACGGTTCTTGCGGGCCTGACGAACTCGTCCTCGCTGCTCGTCGAGAACTCTAGAGCGTGTTATTGCATACAACGGCTTTGGAATGAAGTAGAACAGAAGGAGGGGAGCGTACTGAGGCATCTGCTGGTCAGAATCGGAGGGCTTCCCCACGGTGTTGTAACCAAATTGACAGCCATCGACGCTGCATTTTAAGGGTCGCTCATCGTTGTTGTGCATTCTCCCCATATGCTGGTGTAAATTTATATGCTAGTTATAATGTTAGTGATGTGCGGCGTTATTAAGAGGACGGAGTGTCATACGCGAAGGAATTTGCCCCCGCACTCAGGGTAGTCGCAACTATAGAACTTCTCGCCGCTATTCTTGCCGATGCGAGCGTGAGAAGACATGATGTAATCAGAAGTATAAGATGTTTCGCTAATCTTGAATTCGGACGCGCGACCCTTTACAGTCCTGCTGGGGTTGGGGTCGTGCTCAGCCGCGCTGGTGACGACTGCGACGGTGACTGTCCCTGTGGTCGTTGCGTCTAAACCGGCAGCTATTGCGGGAGGTACCTGAGACATTGGTTATATGGTGACGATTGTGAAGAGAATGGAGTATCGTACATCAGAGTATCGTCCACCGCAGTCAGAGTAGCTGCACCGACAAGCCTTCACGCCGGTGTGGATTCGGGTGTGAGCAGCTGAGGATGTGGACTGGTTGAAGCTTTGTTGGTGCCATTATGGTTAGCTATATCCAATGGTAGAATTGGAAAGATGACGTGGAACTCACTAAATTGCACGCTGGTATTGCACTGGAAGCGACTGGTGGCGCGCTTATACTCGAGAATGTATGGACGAAAGAGGTGAGGAAGTACGAGAGGTGATTCAGAAAGTCGATGAAGGCAGGGAGTGAGAAAGTTAGATACTATGCAAGACCTGGTGAAGTAAAGTGATGATGGAGTCTCGAGGGGGAGAGGTACTAGGGGTTTCAATAAGCGACCAAAATAATCTCGAAATAGACTGGGGAGGGTAGGTAAAACCAGGAATACGATATTACGTGCGTAACAGTTGTCAGCGACGACAGGTAGAGGAGTTGAGTGTAAGCTTGGGCTATTACGGGATCTCAGCTGCCTGTAGGTCGCTGTGAAGCGACTACATAATGGATGTTATTTGTCTTTGTCCTCTCCTCGTTTGTCGACTTACCATGTCTTAAGTGGTCGTAAGGCGCCTGCAGGATCCTGACTAGCTTGGTGGCTGGAAAACTGTGTAAGGGGGAGGGGTTAAGGGGGTGGTTAAAGAGACAAGCATCACAAGAAAAAGTATCTGTGAGTGATACACGATGCGGAGTGACTAGCCGGGGATATGGCCCGACCCGGGCTGGTATAACGGCTGCACT